TTTTTTGCATTTAGTTTTTATAAGAATATTTTTTGCATTAATTAAAATTAATGTATATTCACTGATACACTTATAGTTGACACATTGCACATGACTCAACCATCGATTCAAGAAGCTCAGAGCCAACTCAAATTGTGGCACAATAAGTTTGACTCAATTGTTAAAAGAAGCATAAATTTGAAATATAATAAATTGAGATCAAATCCAAGTCTAAATGAAACAACATATATGATCGTGATTTATTTGCTAAGAAAATGAAAGCTATACATTTAACGTAATTTGAGATCAAAGATTTGGGACGTGTTTTGAATGATTTAATTATAATTATTTTTTTTAGAAGTTAATTAACATTATATTTATTTTTAGGAATTTTTCTTATTTTTTGGATTTTAAATTTTAAATTTTGAAATCAGTATATAAAAAGACGCTTAAGGCCCTTATTATATGAGTTTAAATTTGTTATTTTGTTAATTAGAAATTAAGAATTAAAGAGTTACTCTCTTGTGAAAATCTTAACTTTCTGTTTAGCCATCTTTTTTATGCGCTCTCAACATCATTTTGTACCACAACACTAGGTTGTCTTCAACTAATGGCTGAACAAAAGGTTGAGGATGGCGAAGTTATGAGGGTAGGGGACATGAATTCATTCCTAAAAACGATAGACAACCGCATCAGAATGACCCACGAGACATAGAAATGAAGAGCTCGGAAGGGGGATATATGATTTTGAAACAACAACTTGAGCAGGAGTCAGACAAGAAAATTCAAGTTTTGGAGTGTTTACTTGTGCGAGTGTAGAGCAAGAAAATCCAAGATTTAGAGTAATGACTCGTGCGAGCGCATAACAAGAAAATTCAAGTTTTGCAATGACAACTTGTGAAGGGGGAGATCATGAAAATCTAAGATTTGGAGCGGCGACTTGTGTGGATAAAGTTGAGCATTCAGTCCAAAGAAAGAATGGAATTAGAGAGTGCATTTGATGACGAAGAAGAGGAAGTCAATCTGTTGGGGATTCTAAACCAACGACATAATTGGAAAGTACGATCTGAAAATCAGTCCACTTTTCAAGATATTTAGATGCAAATCAATATTACTAACTTTAATATCAATAATCATAACATAATTTATGGTGATTAATTGGATTTATGATTATTATCCCATTTATAATGATTATCCATCTTAAGATGAAAAATCAGTTTATATTGATAATCTAGTCTATGATAAAGTTGATGGAAAATTTGATGATAAAGGTCTAACAGTGGAAGAATTATCAATTGAGTTTTTACCTAAAAAGATTGATATCATTGAAGATGAAGAAGATTCGAGAACATTGCACATAGCTTAACCATTGATCCAAGAAGCTTGGAGTCAACTAAAATTATAGCCCAATAAGTTTGGCATAATTATTAAAAGAATCAGTAATTTGAAATATAAAGAATTGAGATAAAATTCATGTTCAAATAAAGCAGCATATATGATTGTTATGTTTTTAGTAAGAAAAAGAAAACAACATATTTGACATTATTTGAGATATAAGATTTGGGAAGTGTTTTGAATGATCTAATTGTAATTATTTATTTATTTTTAAAATTTAATTAACGTTATATTTTTTTTTTAGATTTTAAATTTTGAATCAATTTGTAATTAGTATATAAAATGGTGCTAAAACCCTTATTGAAGAAGTTGAATTTCTTTATTTCGTTAATTATAAAATGAGAAAGAGTTACTATTTTGTGAAAATCCTAAATTTTTGTTTAACCATCGTTTTTATGCAATTTTAGCATCATTTACCAATAGTTATAGGAGTTTCAATTTGTCATATTGCAGGAAAGAAAATTGGTCATGTAAAAAAATATAACTATATGTACTACGAGTAGTACATAATTATAATATTAAAATATATTTTTTCTCTCTCCTTAGAAGGTTGTCGGATGATGTTGCGGATAGAGAAAAGTAACTTTAATATTATAATTATATACTATCCATAATACATAGTTGTAATATGTAACATAATCAGATTTTCCTTCATACAAAATTATTCTTATATTTCCCATAGTTAAATGGTTATTATCTAACATTGAACCTACTCCGTGGGGTTATTTATTTAGTTGTATCGACACACAGCAACTGTTATATGTATTTTTGGATCATTAAATTAAAATTGAAATTAACAAAAATATATAATTACAAAATTTAGCAATTTGAAGATGGCCATTTTTTTTTTAAAAAAATATAGGGATTGCGTCATGAAGTTATAATAATGTCCACAAAAATTCTTCCCTCAATCGGACCCACATCATAACCCTGAAGGTAAAACTAGTAAAACAACCAGATATAGAGAAGTAATTAGGCCTGGCCCTCTCCTTACATGATGTTCACAGTAAACCCACCACTACCGAAAAGAAAAGAAAAGAAAAGAAATAAAACTAATGTAAAGACATTGCTTTAACAAATTCTTCCCACATCCTTTTAACTTTTATAATCGAACATGGAAACATTTCGACACACGTAGGGCATCTGTATGAATGATCAGCATTTAGTGCTAGTTGAGAATCCCAATTAAATCCTTCATCTTTGAAAATGTATATATTAGGATATTAATTTCAAAACCTCACATATAAATATTTCATTATGCAAAAGTATATTCATGAAAAAATTTCGATCAACATTTCTCTGTTTCTCTACAATCTCATCTCAAGCCACCTATATCAATGAACGATAAAAAGACTTTGCCTCCATATTTAAACACAAGGTGATTTATTATTTTAATATAGTTAAAGGCCCAAGAAAAAACTGCATCAAATTACTAACAGATGAGCTTTATCAATTATATATGGTCAGCTCAAAAATATTCAGATCATATATCTCTAAGCCAAATTATGAATAACGTCCAAGACAATCGATGAACAAGGGTAATTATGCAACATACGAAACATTCCTCTAAAGTGAGTTTATTTATAAAGTACACAAGTAAAAGTATATTTATCATTGATTTAGTTTTAAAGAGATTGTGATTTTAACTTACCGAAATTCAATAGTAAATACACATTCACTTGTATATTTTACAGATAAGTTTATTTTAAAGATTTTATTTTTTGATTTGCTAACCTTTACACTTTCATGTGACGGTCAGTAATTTACATATTTTATTTTGAATTATCAAATAACTTAATCTTAAGAGTTAAGAGTATTTTCACTATTTCAATTATTGAATTTAATAAAGAAATATTATACTGACAGTTAATTTTAATAATAAGTTACCAAAAAAAAATTAATAATAAAAAAATACTTGAATTCAGTTTAAATGAAGAAAGGAAGTCTCACTTTCTTATTAATTATATTAAAATATGTTGCGATATTTAATATATGAATTTATTTATTGAATAAAATAAAAAAACAGCATATAAAATCATCAAAGAAAAACTTCTAAATGAAAAAAGTTTGATTAGTTAGAGATAAGTTGATTTTTATCATATTTTTTTAACAGTTATATAAATTATAAATTTTTATATTTACATCTAATAAATTTTCCATCTTTATGAAAATTCTACTTTTTAAAATGATTAAATTTTAAATTTTTATTTATTTAATGAGAATAGTCATATTCTCTTTTTATCACTAAAATCAAAATTTTCGCTCTTTATTAAAATTAGCATATATTTTTTCAACCAAAAATAAATAAATTAGCTTATATTTCTCTTTCAAATCCATTATCCACTTCCTTTGCAATTTCTTTTTTCTTGCATAAATGTTTAACAATCGTCATGCTTCTAGGGCTAAGTATATGACCTTTTGCAAGCCCAACTAATCAAGTATAGGTTCTTTACACATTTGAAAATATGCTAAAATCCAGAGATATATGCAATTTTCTGTCACACCATATAATGATACAATCAACTGAACATAATAAGCAAGTAACAGAAGGTTGTGTCTTAAGAGTACATTTTTTTTTTTTATGATTCACCCAAATGTTAAAGACGTCTTAGGTTTATATTGCCTTCAAAATGTATACGTAATGATCAGTATGTTGGGCTTCGTATGATCATGCATGCAGTAACATAAGAAATTTACGCCTACACCAATAATCAATAGAGCTTGGATACATGAATGTGATGAATGTCTATGAGAAAAAATAATTGGTCTTTATTTTTTTCGGAGAAGAAAATAAAGTCAAATCTCATTATAATTATTGGAAAATCATTGTCTCATTTTACACGAGATAGTTATCTCATGTTCCTCTCATATAAAAAATTGTGCCACCATTTTTATTTTTTTTAATAGATGGTGAGTCCCACCACATCATGTATCTATGGTAGGAGATACTTACCTTCAACAACATGAGAAAAATAGAACCCATAATTATTATATGTATCATATAAACATGATATTAAAGCTGAATCAACAATATATGGAGAAATTAACTACATTTTTAAATATTAATTGTTTTTGCATAGTACGTGGCCAGTACCAAGTTTCAGGCTTTGACCAAAAGTAAACAAATAGCACCATTATAGGAGTATTTAAAATCATCTAGCGAATGCAATCTCTTTTCTTCCACTGAATTAGACAATATATCAGAATTCAGAGAGATATTGGGTGCACAAACTTCAAGGCACTACTTATCTGATGATGCTACCCATTGCATGACAGTTTGAAGCATTACTTAGTACTAGTCTAGTCTCTACACTGTATATTCATAATGAAAATATGAAACTACATGAAATCGCTGAACTACCAAAATGACCCAAACATAAATAAATCATGCTAGACAAGTTGATGATGATATTGAGTGATATTTTCAAAAAGCTACAAAGTAATCAAAGGGAAAAGAAACTAGAAAGAAAACTTAACAGCAGCATCCAAGGAAGATATAAGTAAACATGATCTTGAAATCCATTATTTTCGTCATAACATCTTCAACAAGTACAAACATTTTTTTATTTTATTACAAATTGGACAAATGTGTGTTGGTCTGTCACATAGCCCTCTTCACTTCTTCACAGTCTTCTCACTCTTACCACTATTGCCAGCTTAAATTACATTAAGACTGTTTTTTAGGTTACACATTAATTTTCTAATCAAATTCCAAATAATGGTGTCCCCATATTCCATTGTCCCAGTGTCAAATCACAAGTTCTGCACAAGCAAAATATAGAAGTGAAAAATGAAAATTAAAAAAAAAAAAAAAAAAACATAATTTAGATATATGCAATGTTAAGGCAAATTATAAACTACTATATAACGGAGAAGATTACATGACTTAATCAAGAGGCTAATATTAACATGCAGATATATATTGTGGCCTTACTAATTAATTTAACTTGCATTTGATGGTGGCAATGCAGATTGGGGACGTTTGCGCTTCTTTTTCTCGTAGCTAATTCCTCTAGCTTTGGCTTGTGAATCACGCACTTCACGAAGATAGAGCCTAACAGCACGAGCACCAAAAGGGTTAGCTTCAGGTTTTCCACCATTCTCTTCAAAAGCAGCTCTCAAGCGACCTATGAGAGCATCAAGGCTACCCCATGCTTGTCTTAGAGGACAAGGACATGGTGCTGGTGGGTTTGGATGTCCAAAGAAGGGACAAACATGTGTGTGAACCTTAGTTTTCCCAAACTGGTCAAGGTATCTGAGGAATTCAAGGACATGAGCACCACTGCATCGAGAGAGAGAAAGTGGTGGTCTGTGGTTTCTAAGGTACTGGCCAAAGGTGTTCCAGTCACGGCGTTTCTGATTCTCATAGCGACTGAGAGTACTGGTGGTGGATGATGGTTGTGGTTGTGGTGGTGATGATGATGATGCTGAAGACAACAAGGGTGTGAAATTGGAACTGTTCGCTACTGTGTTTTCCGTGGTGTTTATGGCTTTGTTGTCTGTGTCTGATGTGGAGTCAAATTCTTGAAGGGGATTCATGATTAGCGTTTGTGATCTAATGGATCTTCGATCTTCGATCTTCTTATACTGTTTAGTGAAGGTTTTCAGATTGGTGGGTCGGTGAGGAAACAGTAGTATATAAGAAGATTGAAGAGGTAATAATAATAATAAGGAGCAGAAAGAAGATCTCACGAACAGAAACAAAGAAAGTCTAGTCTCAGAAAAATGGCTTTGATCAGATTTCAGCAAAGAGAAATAGAGAAAGTGTGTGTGTGTTGGATTGATGGACACAATGACAGGGATAACGTAATAGGAGTGGAGTAAAACTTTTGTACTACCCGAGTACTGTAGTTAGGTGAGTATTTTCTTTTTTCATATTTGGTAAAATTTTCACTATTTTTTTAAAAAAGTTTCCTATCACGTTGAATTTTTTTTTCCTTTTGAAATAAAATAAAATATCCAATTGGATATATTCGATGCACATAGGAGTGAGGGTAAAAGAACAGTGTAGAATAGTAGAAAACCCTATTTTCCCACAAGGCTACCTTCTCAATTCCTTTGGTTTTTGATAACTCCTAGAATACTTGAAAGCGTAGGAATGCTATGGGCTTTTTGGCAAACCCTGTTTTTGTGATAACATTTTTTAGGAATTGACAGTTTTTTTTTTTATTTTAGGAAAAGGGACAGGAGATGAATTGGTTTGACCTAGTGTCAAGCAAAGAGAGTGACCAGAGGGGCTAAATTGAGAAAGGAGCTGTGTATTGGTCTTTAGGGCTTTTGTGGAAATGGAAATAGGTTGAAAATGACAGTGAGATTTGATTGATGCTGACATATAAAGCTAATGGGTAAAAAAGAAAGAAAGAAAGAGAGAGAGAGAATAACATGATTTTTTGCTGCTTCTCTCTCCTGTGTTGATTGACAACTCCTTTTTTGAAATGACTTGTTTGCCCTTTCTTGTCTCATTGGTCGTCTAACTTTAGTTTTGAGAGTGGAATCATCAAACCATAGTTGCATTTTTTGCTGCTAATCCCTAGATATCTGTGTGCAGATCATTATGATTTCAATGATGAAAATCATTGACTGCAAAGGGTTTCAATGAAACCACCTAGTAAAGAAGGCTTATACGATGCAACTCAAAAAATAATTAAGCTAAAGAATTATATTCCATATTATATTATTAGATTAATCTCTTTTTATATATTAAAATCAATTTATGTCCACTATTTAAGGAATAAAAAAAAGTATAATTATTTTCTTATAAAACTATTTTTTATATTATGAGGTATCAAAATTCATATCATCTTTTTTTTTAATAAGTGAAGAATCTCACGACTTATTATGTTTATGATATGAGAAATACTACCTCATATTATATGAGAAAAAAGAAATCTATAAAAAAAATCATAATAATGATGTCTATCTAAATTTGGGGGGAAAATTATATTTATAATTTTTTTTTCATACAAATTATATTAAGTATATGACTGGTTAGACTTCAACCAAAAGGGTGTGACCGGGTAGACATAATGTAGTTTGTAAACAATAAATTTGTAAATATAATCTTCTCTTAAACTTTACATGTTAAAATACTTTTATAAGACCCGACCCGTTCGATATTGAAGATATTCAGACCATGCTTATTTGCCCGAATCAAGTTGTTTTGATTGTCAATCATAGAATGTCACTTCCAATTATAGCATACAAAATTTGTTGGGAGAAAAACTTTGCAAAGCAATTTACTTTTTAAAGGTGAATTTTTCTTAGAATAAATCGCCTTGTGTTAAAATTTTATATGATCTGATTATATAAAATTTTTATGTTTATCTCTTTCTTTATTAAAGATAATTAAATCTCGTCTATTTAAAACATGTGAAAAGAGAAATAGATATAAAATATTTACATAACCAAGTCATATAAAATTTTAACATAAAGAGAATGTTGATATCTAACAACTAGCTCCATGAGAGATTAAAAGTTGCTAGTGGGGCATTCCATAAAATTAGAGAGTTGACCCTAATGTTGGCTTGAATTGTAAGATAAATCCATTTATATTTTGTGGGATCGAGGTTTATAAGGATAAAGTCTATACAAATATCATTGCCCTTTTGAAATGACAAATTTGACATGCAGATGATTTTACCCTACATAATTTTTTTTTTTTTTTTTTTGGGGGGGGTGGTTTACGGTATAGAACATCTTCTGAAGCAAAAAGAGCTGAGTAAATATGAGCTAATTTGACAAATGTGAAGATTTGCCTGTATTAGAATGAGTATAGTATAGTTCTTGCATTTGGATTTGGGTGTGTGCTTTCCCCGCATGATTTGAACTTTGTTATGCTAAAAACTTCATTGAAATCTTTTTGAAGGGAAGGTGGTAAAGGTGATGAAGCCCTTGTAATGAATATGTAAGAATAGGATCACCAAGCTCACTTGTTTCACGTAATTCATCTTACTCCATTCATATGAGTGTGAGCGGAAATGCACGTTCCATGCCAAAATTTGTTATGAAAGTGCTGCGATGATTAAAAGACTTGAATTCTATCAATTTAGATTTTTTAATAATATTCTCCCGTGATAACATAAGTTTGTTACAAAAAAATATAACATAAAAAGAAAAAAAGGTGAACCAAAAAGTAATAAAACAACACTTGAGAAATAAATTGTGATAAGGGCCGAGTGGAAGAAATTAAGCTACTTCGTTATAGAAAGGTAGATTCTTTATTTCCTACATTTTAGATGATTTTTTAATCTTTTTCCCGGTATTTATTTCTTCTTTATTTTTTTTCTCTTATTTTTTATTTTTATTTGAATTCATCAACTGCCCAATTAATTTGGGCTGGAGTTGATGTTGATGATAATTTTATTATTGGGTTCGTTTTTTTTGCGGTTACTGCAGATAAGTTATCTGCAGTAAGCCCAATATGATGTCGTTTTGGAACGGAAATCATGATGTTTTTATAATTTTAATTTATTTCAGGGTTATTATAGTCTTTATAATTATACTTTTTTAATGTTTCAATCCAAAACGACGTCGTTTTAGGAGTAAATGCAGATAACTTATTTGCAGTAATAATTTTCGGTTTATTATTATGTATAATTAAGTGTTATTTGGAGTTTATGCTAGCATTAAGAATTGGGTAAAGGATTTTTCCAGTAAATAGAGATAAGTTATCTCCAATGAACCCAAAACGATGTCATTTTGGACGAAAATCAAGGTGTTTTTGTAATTTTAATACATTGTAGGATTATATTAGTCTTTATCATTTTAATTTTTTAATCTTATACTCCAAAACGACGTCGTTTTAAGCTCACTCGAGACAATTTTATCTCCGGTGACTGGAGAAATACTTTTCCGTAGATTCTATAATAATGGGATCACTCAACTTGATCTTTATTTGAATGAGTCAGGGCTTATGGATTAAAAATAAATAAATTAATTGTTTAGTATCAGAATATGCATCAATTTTTAGATTTGGCAATGGTTTATGAATCATGATGCTTTATGTACTCCAAGAGCTACAGTAGTTTCAGAATCGGCTTCTAATATGGATTCGTCACATAAATTGCTTTTTGCTGCTTATAGTAAGATGATATTGAATTCTTTTTTTAAGTTTGTGAATGACTTTTTGTTGCTTTTGTGTTGGTGTTCTCAATAAGCATAGAAGTAATTTAGCTCCCTAAAAATGTTCAAGTTGTCATTTGCACGTTTGTTTAGACCATTTCAAATCCACTACTAGCCCCATTGGCATTAATGATTAATTGTTTAGTTTTATAGATTTATTGTTTTATTACAATTAATTGACTAGCTATAACTTGTGGGTAGTAAATGAAAAGAAATAGATGAATGTAAAATTATGGAATCAACATGTCCAAATATCATTGTTGAGGAAAATAAAGATGGAGCCGAAAACTGCTTGGTTTGGAAATTTAGAACCTTGGATTATAATATTTGTAATTGGTTGTTGGTCCTCCATAATAGTCTGGTGCGCTAATATGTATCACGATGGTATGCTTAACATAATGCACTTACCACCTCATGATGATGCACTTACCATTGTCTATCCATAATTCCATATACATCTAGCCACTGAAACAGTAAGGTAAATGCATTGATATTCAAAAAAATTCTGTCAAAATATACCTATTTTCTTGTAGTATTAAGGTGGGAGATATTTCATTAAATTACATTTATTTGCATAATTAACTTTAATGGGGGGAAAAACACAGAAGTATTCATTCATTCGATGTAGCTCATAGGTAATACAGTGTTTTGTATAATAGTTGTGTCATCAAAGTCAACCAGCTGCAGATCCACATGAAACATAGTTTTACAATTTAATACAAAGAATGCAACGCAAATCTAAGTAGTGTATATAAATTGCACGTGTTTGAATACAAATCCCAGGAGTCCTGAGACCACAATTGGACAAAATCTAAATAGTATTTTTTCAGACCTTTTTATCTTACACCAGTTTCACAATTGACCTTCCAGAAGTGATAATTTGAACCCACTAGTACATAGAGAAAACAAAAAAGCATATGAAATCAACATATTCACAAACTACCCCGTGGGATCTGGATACTTCTAGTATAGACATTCTTCTGTTTGTCATTTCTAGCTGTAAACAAATTTTAACTGAAGATGCATTTTCATTTTTCATGATAAACATGTGTAGTGTACTACTCCTTATGCAACAGGCAAAGATCATTGCAAGCTTCTGGCCACCGTGTCAAATCTCAAACATGATATAGCTTTATGATCTGATCTATCTTAGTACGACATACTGGGCAACCCCATTTCTTTGTTTTGACCTCGTTCAAGCAAGACATGCATCCAGCAACATGGCCACAGGGAATGCATGCCCCCTCTGCTGGAGCATCTAAACATATCACGCATGATGAACCACTTCCACCGGCATTTTGTTCTTCTTCTTTACGAAGCTTCTCAACAACTGCAGATGATATATCAACAGGGCTTAAATCAATTGAAGGATAATGAATGGGACCATCTATTGGAATATCATCAGCAATTGGAGGAGCCGATGGATTTAAATCCAGAACACTAGCAGTATGGCCAGCAGAGACATTGTCATGGCTTTGGACATCCTGACTATTGCCACTTAGGTCAGCTTCATGTACAGGTTCAATATCCATTGTCTTTGGATTTGGTGTACCCAGAAAACCATGCTTGCTTGCATTTTCTCCATTGCTTGAAGAGCTTGCTTCAAAGTTTGGCTGGGTATCAGGAACGGGTGGCCTCTCCTGAAGGGCATGCTGAATGGATGCATTGATAGCCATAGCCAACTCTGGGTCTTCAGCAGTTGGTGGTGCTGTGGGTGGAACTGTAGCCACATTATTATGCAAAAATGCTGGACTTGCCTGAAAAACCAGAAAATTAAAGATTCATGTAATGAGCAAGGGAGTCATGCATCAAAAATTTATTATCTGCAAACCTTTGTAAACATTTTCTGGGTTGCTAATGAACTAAGGTGAAATAAAAGAAAAATACCAGAACTATGTTTGTTTAATCATTTTGAAAAGCAACAATTACAAATTGGATACAAGAAAAATGTGCTTCTAGAAGATAAAGGAAATTAAAAAAAATGCGTAGGCATAAATTGGTACTGAAATCAAGGCCAACAGCCACAGGCTATAATAACTAAACAAACATTCTGATGGAAAGGGAATCAGAATATTTGCACCATTCTGATTAAAAAGCAGAGTGTGTTTGCATCATTCTTTGGTTTTCCGGAAAATCAGATCGAGATATCTTCCATAATTAAGTACCTTAACACTGCAATGACTTGTTAGATGTCAAGAAGCAAATCAAATTGTGATTTTCTATGAAAACATAAGATCCCTCCATGTTTCAGGATAACATTACTAGAGCACCAAATGCTGTGCAAACATAGTGCATGAGCTACTTGCAGAAATTTTAATTTCGCCACTCAATTATTTTTCTAAAAAGAAAAAGAAAAAATAAATCTAACTTCCTGACAATGGTTTTAATAATTATCAACAATGGAAAAACTATTTTGAGAAAAAAATACAAGTTACCCTCCCCTTTATGACGCAAACACAGTGAGAAATTAGGCCATTTGCTAATTTACGAGTTGGATTTAAACCCAAAATTTCAGCAGCATATCATTGACACTTTTGTATCAATTGTTTAATACAACTTTGTATTTGACCCTTCTGAGCTGCTTTTGGGCAAAATCTTTTTTGCAATTCCTGACTTATTCATTGAACTTTAATAAAGTCTACTTTCCATCTAGGTCAACCCCTTTGAAAGTCCAAACTCCCTTTAAGGTCAAGTCCTGTATTTGGACTGTAGTGCTTAATTGAATTAATACTAAGGACATGTTGTAGGTTTGTAGGCCATATAAGGTTCTTTCCCCTGATATGTATTATATGTGGTGCTTGCTCAAAATCGGTTCCTTGTATGCTCTTACAATGTTTCTCTTTGGAACTCTTTGTTCGCCATTTTTGGTGAATGTTAGGGCGTGTCCTAGATCCTTGTACCAATTTTTTGTGATTAGCTTTAAAGGTTTTACTAGAAGTAAAGAGCCTAGATTTTTGTGGCAAAGTGCAAACTACTGTACATATTGCTGCATATAGTTGGAGTGTAACTCTAATATCTTTAAGGAGGTTTCTATGGCACAACAACTGATTTGGGATAAGATTAGATATTTGGTTTAAAGCACATGATCTTTTTAAGGGGGTTTCCCCAACAGAGATGTTGAGGGATTTGGCAGCTTTGTATCATTGATGTTTTTGTTATTGCTCTTACATTAACGAGGATTTCTTATTCTCCAAATTCCTTGTAATTTCTTCTTTAAGGAAAAAAAATAAAATCAGTACCCCTCCTCAGGTATCAACATTTAAGTTACATACAGACAATTATTAAGCACAATATTCCAAAGAAAAACTCAAAAACAAAATACGGGAGAGATTCTACAGTGGCACTTTACGTAAAGCAAAACTTACAAACAAAATTACATCAGTGTACATAGCATTTGATATACCTGTGGAATTCCTTTGCAAGCATTAGAAAACCACATAAGTTGTTGCTTGTCATTCTGATTAGCAGGCCCAAGTTTAACGCGTGTTTCTGGAAAGAGGCAGAGAAAATTTTAACAGTGTCAAAACCAGTCAAGAAGGAAGGAAGCATTTCCTGTATGGAAAACCACGTTGTCAAACTCTCGAATTAACTCTAATGAGTTTGAGATCCTAGGACAAAAACTTACATTGCATGTAAACTCGTATTTTTTGTCAAACTCATTTGAGTTCAAGTAAACGTTGACATAAAACAGTGAACTCTAGATTTTACCAGTGGATTTAAGAGTTTGGATTTGCTCTTGGTTTGGGCCTTAAAAACACACAGCTTTTGTTGATTTTGTGGCTTACTTCAAATGAGTTGCCTCTGTTCTGCAATGTGTATTGTGTCTATTAAGTTGATTCTGTGTTTTTTTATCTTTTGGTTTTTTTGTTTTTTTTTGTTAAACTCTGGTCACTGGTTCGAATCCGGGAAATAGCCTATGCAAAGGTAAGGCTACATACAAGTATTGCCTTCATCCATACCCTCATCAAATGGGTTTAATGTAACTACAAAACTACAAAATACTGAAAGTCACTGCATTAGTATAATATAACAGTTGGGTCTAGTATTAAGATGTGTTTTTTATTTTGTTACTTTTGTTTGCTTGGTTGTGTTGAATATTGATTACAGATATGCCATTAAATTATGTTTGGGTACTAAGACATATTTTCTAAATGAATTTTTGAAGTATGTAAACTTTTACAAGTTTACAATTCAAGTTCACTAGACTCCATGAGTTTACCCAAACTCTGGAGTTTGACAACCTTGAGTAAATCACAGGCTGGGGGGATGGTGTAACTTGTGAGTACAGCGCAAAAGTCCACAATACATATTGAAGGACCATTATATTTCTGGCTCATGGAGAAAAGCAAGGTAGATTTCAATCTTCACTTAATGTCACAATTTTTTTAAAAAAAGCAGTGTACAGTTCAAATATTTGTTAAAAAATAAATAAAAATTATATGGTTAAAAAAAGGTATATATAAATAAAAATAATATAAATTGAGGTTTCTAAATTCCAACACCCCAAACCCAATACTTTTTCTCTAAACTTCCCTTATCTTTTGACGGGCATTTAAAGTTTGTTGATAAACATAATAACAAAACGGGAGTGGTTAAGGAGAGAGACAAGGAAGCGGTTGGACAGGGGGACAGCTGGCAGGCTTTGAATGGTGAGCATGATTTTGGGGTTACTGGGAAGGAAGGCAGAAAGGAGGGGGTATCGAAGAAGTACGGAATATTGGGAGTATTTGGGAACTTTACAGGAATTGGGTTATGTTCGTGTAGAGGAAGCTGGGTTGCTGTCTTTAGTATTTTTTTGTATTTCCTTTTAGTCACTGTTGCATTTGCTTTGTCATCGTTAGATTTCTGTAATTAGGGAAAATATTCTGTAATCATTACAATGCTTGGTTGAAGCATTGCCATAGAATTTTCTGATTCATCATGTTTCTCCACTCTTATCTCCACTAATTTTTCTCTTAAATACATACACGTATATCTACCACCTTCTATTGATATTAAAAACAAATATAAATACCAAAAAGTGATTGTGATAACGGATGGGTGAACAACACAGCAAAATGACAGACAGATAAAGAACAAGAATTTAGTATAGGAGATTACTGGTAGCAATATCAACAATTGACACTGACACATCGGATTGGTGAAACTTTGGTTCTTCTAAATTGGCCTTCCACAGAGCAATAATTGTACGTGGATGTGCATCCTGTTCATTTAATCATATGCTTTAAAAAGGACATTTAAATATAGATTATGATTGTGCAAGAATATCCAGCAAAAGAAAAGCACCAACTCAAATTTTGTCTTCATTTTAAGTGCAAACAGATACTAGTAATTTCAAGTATTTCAATATCCCTATTATAGTTTAATGTTTTGTCCGCATTCTAGTAAGTTAAAATGAGGTAGCAGTTCAAATAAAAATCACTCCCCACTAAACCTAAACTTGCGAGGGCGAGGGCAGGGCAGATGGAAATCCTTATACTCAGCCTTACCCTTACATTTTTTGCAAAGCAAAAGAGACTGTTTCCTGAATTTGAATCCGTGACCTTTCAGTCACCAAGGAACAACTTTACCAATGCTCTAGGCTTGTGCGCTATTTCCTTTTAATGAAACACAATTTAACTATTTTCTTTGTGTGTGTGAATTTGTGGAAGAATACTTAATTGACTATGGAATACCTGCAAAGTAGAATATATGGCAAGCTCCAACTTGAAAGGTCTGGCATTGGAACCAACTGGTAAAACAACCGCCCAACTGCAAAGAAAATTAATCAATAATGAGCATAATCACAGATTTTATATTAAAAGTTTCTCCCAAAAAAACACACACACTAATTTGCAAGTTGTGTGAGTGCAAGCCCAACCATGTAGCAATAAATCTAGAACAACTAGCCACAAAATAGAAAATTCAGAAGTGAACTGAGATGCTTCAACAATATGTCACATGATACTCACACTTTTCTTGATACCAACTGAGGAGCTACAACTTCTAGAAACCCAGGTCCATGAAACTCCCGCAGCCAACCAGAGAACAAGCATAGATGACTCTTCAAAACAATAATCATTATTTGAACATAGATGGTTCAGGTATCATGATAAAGAGAAGAAAGAGAAAACATTTCAGTTCATTCAACTTATATAGCAACAAAAGGAAATTACATTACAAAAGTTTAAATGTACCTCAAGTGCACGAACAACATTGCTGTGCCCTTTGGCCCTGGCAACCTCAAGAGCAGTTTGACAATCATCATTCAAGATCAGAGGATTGGCTGAAGAGTTGAGCAGTAAATCCCATATAAATAACATTCATTGGAGTTTCTAAGATTCAAATGAATGGAAATAGTCACATTTTTGCTGTTATATAGACACTTGATCATACCTCCATGCAAAAGAAGTAACTTAACCATACTTTCAAGGCCCCTTTTAGCTGCATGATGTAATGGAGTCCCGGCATGACGACCTAAACAATAGTTGAAAGTTGAAACCAATAGATGAAGCAAATGGAAAAATAAATAAAGTTCATTTTTCAATATCCACTACAATTCATGTTCAGAAAAATTAACGATATCAGCAGAGACAAGCAACCATCTCAACTAGGAATCTACAGGCTCGGTAAACGTCTAGAACTAGGCAACTCATGCTCCCAGATAGAATTATCTTACTTCATTATCAGATGATTTTGATTGCTACTTTTACTATTAAGTAATAATTTTTCCCAATGCCAATTACCCACAACATTCTTGTTTCTTAGAAATTATAATCATTCAATTCCAATCATAGCAATCAGCATCATTACCCAATACACAAATTAATCAAATCAGAAACCATAACAAACCAAAAGGAGACCAATACCAGGACGGTATGCATTGACATTGGCTCCAAGTTGTATCAAAGTTTTCGCAACATTATACAGCTCAGGATTCATGCAAGCAACAATCAAGGCTGTCTTTCCTTCTTTGTCCATCCACTGCATCAAAGATCAACAAAATCATCACAATCAACAACAAAATCCAAAGGATCGAAACCCAGAATCGTCATCCCCTTAACCACTACCACAATAATAATTATAATAAAAAAAAAATTCACATTTTTTCTGGAAATTTTGCCACAGTTCATTTACCTCTAGGCCAGCACCCTCTCTGTGAAGGGCTTTGATTCCTTCGCAGTTCCCATAACTGACTTGCTGGTAGAGCAACTCGCCTTTGGATTGCCCTTGCCCCATCGGATATACACAAATTCAGAAGCAAAATTGGATTTTTATTTAATTTTTTTTTTTTTTTTTGGAGGGGGGATTTATTTATTATAGATTTTGCAGGAATTCTGAAGTGGGTTTTCTGGTATTAGGGGAAGGAAAACTGGGTTTAGTTGAATAAAAAAAAATTCCAGGAAAATTTCGAACTTTCCTGGAAAACGTATCTGTTAGTACGAGGCAAAGATAGGGAGAAAACATTATATTGGAAAGTGAAGAATAATAATTATAATTGGGAATGTGAGGGGCTAAAATTGTAAATATGCAAGAAGATGCGGCAAATGATAATGACCTTTCTAATTCTAATGCAAAACAATCCGCGTTATTTATAACGATATCTTAACAAAGAAGCAATAGAACCATTTCTGTGAAGTCGCAGCTACAAAACACGCAAGGTTGAGTGTTTCTTGGAATATAATTTGAGTAAATACCCTTTTTTTTTTTAGTCCTGGCAATATTCACGAAATCTTTTTTAGTTCCTGGCAATTAAAAGGGTCAAAATGGTCCCTGAAATTACAAAAAAAGAGTTACGTTAGTCCTTTTGTCAACTCCACCGTGACGGCTCAACTAACGGTGTCCATGTGGCACGTTAGTGTGCTGACGCGGCTTGGACGGTTGACACGTTGGAACTACAAACGACGACGTTTTCTTCCAAATGGTACATGGCTTTCCAAAGTACCACACGACGTCGTTTTATGTTTGACAAAACTCAGCACCAACACTGGAAGTTACCGTAGAAAGTCGTTTTTATTTCACTAAGTTTTTACATATTATTGGAACCCCATTGTTGACCTCTGAAGCTTCGTTGAACGGTGAGGGTTGTCGAAGACGGTGGTTGCAGGTAAGACAATCGAGCGTGGACGGTGAAGGTTGTCGAAAGGCTGGTTCTCTGGTGGTTAAGGGAAGTTCGAGTGTTGGTGTTTTCTTACATGCATTAAGGTAAGTGTTTTGTTAGAAATTCTTCAATATTTGTGGTCCCCCTCACTACATGTTGTATATTCGCTAATGTGAAGCAGCTCTCTTGAACTGACCAGACGCCTGCCTAGTCGCTAACTGCTTTCCCTTACCCTTATCAGCAAACCTCCTGTCCTTCCAAGAAGTAGGAGCAGGAGTGGAACCACCTGTTCCCTTGCTGTCCTCAACCTTGGCCATCTTGGCCTTGCTTGCCACGCAAACATCATCGATGTCCTTACACTGCTGAACCAGTGTACCAAAGTCCCTCGAAGCAGCACCAGCAAGATGCTCAGCAATCACCTCACTAAGTCCCCTGCGGAACTTAGCTGCCAGAAACAACGGAGTAGGAGGAACCATCCGGAAGTGTGCAAACTTCACTAGCTCATTAAACTTAGCCAGGTACTCATCAACAGACATCGAGCCATGTACCAAACGATCAAACTCTCCCTGCTTCCTCTCCTGCGCATCATAGGGAAAGTATCGGCCCAGAAAACACTCCTCAAAAAATGGCCACGTCATGACACGGCCCTGCCTCTCAAAAGCACGAGAGGTGTGTGTCCACCACTCATGGGCATCGCCCTCCAGCATGTAAGTCGAGAACATCAGCTTCTGTGGGTCTGTACACTGCATAACCCGAAAGATCTTGTCCAGCGACTCTAGCCATCTCGCAACAGCAATAGGATCCAAAGACCCCTCAAACACAGGTGGCTTATGCTTCCTGAAAGCATTCAGCCGGCGATCAATCACATCACGATCCTCAGCAATCCCCACAAGGGGCTCCCCCGTCTCAGCGGCATGAGTAGCACTGCCGATGTAACTATGGCTCTCCTCCTGAACACTAGGTGGTGGCGGTGGCGGTGGTGGCGGTGGTGGTGGAGCATGGCCTACAGCAGGACCAGCCCTCATCTCCTCCAACATGACTCTCATCATCGTCATGTTCGCCATCCTGTTCGCCTCGAGGACTTCCTCAGTGGTCCTCCGATTCGCTTCACGAACCTCAGCTGCGGTTATCCGGTTCGCCTCGCGAACAGCTTCCATCATTGCCGCGTTGGCCAATCTAGTGGCCTCCTGATCGGCTAACCTAGCCGCCTGCATCTCAGCCAATGCAGTCAGGATAGGATCAGATTGATCCTCAGAAGTCTCCCGTGTTCTCCCGGACCTTACCATGACTCTGCACAAGTTACACAAATTATGAGTTGATCAGGCCCACGCAATGTGATCACATATACATCATCATAATAAAATTCGACGGAGTAAACACAAAGACAGACACAACCAAACAACCTAGCAATTGCAATACATACAGGCTTTTCCCTCGAACCATTGCTCTGATACCATAAATGTAACACCCCGTATATATCCGGTAATGTTATCATAATATCGTATTAAGCTGCGCTTAATTAAAATGCGGAATTACTTTTTCTTTTCAATTATGATGCCATTAACATTACCAACTTGCTTAATAATCAATTAATAAAACATCGCCTGTATGTAATTGCAATAAAACAACTAACTGAAATACCTCATAACATAGATAATAAAAGTGTGGCTCTAGTCACGGAACTACAACAACGTAGACCGGACCATCTAATAGTTTAAACAACTCCAAATCAAAAGCACTAACATAAAGTGTCATGGACAATCCCCATGCTCACTCAAATAAGGCAACATGCCCAACATCAGTCTCAACAACAACATATCATAAACAGCGGAAAAACATAAACAGCATCCAAATCCAGTCATGCTAACATAAAGCAGTAAAACATATGCCGCCTGAGGCATCAGTACCCATACTACCTGATCCTGAAATAAGCATTCCCCAACGTGGGGTAAGATCTCTAATCTAGAAATCTCAGTAAGTCAGTGAGTCCTCAAGGATCTTCCACCCCAAGCTCACTTACATGTGCAATATAAGTTCAAAAACCGTTTATCATTTATCATTTCTAAAACAATGCAATGTAGCAGATAATCATGCCATGTGTGTCAATACTAATCTACTGGCCAGAGACAGTGCAGGTATACGTCTATCACCTACACATTGTGCAAGTACCACTTGCATTCACCCCGGTACACCGTCTTGTATGGCGCTACATACTCAGGCTTCCCGTCAAGATGAAACAACACATGCATATTAAAAGCCATTACATGTAAAGTTCAATCAACATATCAAATATCCAAAAGCATGTACACAGCATGCATAAACCATACCCCCATGGGACATGGTGGAACCACAACATGGCTAAACCGAGGACACGAAAGCTTACCTTGCAAGCTAACTCCAAAAGCCAAGAGTCCACAGCTCAAAGTCCAAACACAGCAGATTCACAATCTGTCATGGACCAACAATACATCAACAACATGCACCACAAGCATACAATATTAAGACAACGCCTTTTCATTACGTTTCCAAGTATTAAAGCTTCTAACAAAGCCACAAGCCCTTAATCCCATGATTCTGGCTTAATCCATTAAATACAGAAGTTCAACTTCATCAAACTAGGGTCCATAAACCCCAAATAGCCTACTGTACACACAGTACAGCTGCTGTTCTGCGAAATCCCAGAATATCCGGATATCTCGCTGTCCATATCCGGATATGCAATATCCGGATATACAGATTCACATATCCGGATATCCAATATCCGGATATCCCAAAACCACGTATCCGGATATCCAATATCCGGATATCAGTTCGACAAATATCCGGATATCTCACGACAGAATGCAGTTTCTGCATTTTCGTGAAGATATCCCAAAAAGGTTCCCTTTTTACCGATTTTAATCACCTAATCATGCATTTCTAGATGTGTTAAGCCTCACCCAACAACAAGTTATCATCTTTTAACCTTAACATGCATGAAGCTTTCATTTTTAAGATTTAAACTCATGATTAAAGGTTGGTATACATACCAAAGCTCAAAACTCAGAAGTAAAGGCTCTTGGAGCTCCACACTCTGCCTCTCCAAGTCTGACTTGAAGGGTACACGAAAATGCTACCAAAGCTTGGCCCTTTCCACACAAAGGAAGCTCCTTGGAGCTTCACAAGCCAAGAGCAAGACTCTCACCACCTCAACTCAAGAGGACAGCCCCTCCAACACTCACAAACAGCAACCCCAACACAGAACAGGGTCAACAACACAACCCCAAAGCTACTTTCACCCCACACCAAGTGTTTAGGAGAAGGATTTGTGAAGGAAGTTGCCTCAAAGCTCAAGAAATGGAAGAGGAACACAATGGAACAGTACTCAGCAGTTGGCCAGCCCCAAGACTCACGTAGAGAATGTGTTATGGCCTAGGGTTTTGTGCTAACAAGCCTATATATAGCCATTTAACATAAAACACACAGTATTAACTTTAATTTCTACGCTTAACATTTTAATCCCAAACTTTGAATTATGAAACTACATAATTTTCTAAGATTTATCATATTTTTCTTATAATTTTCTAAGCACTTTTCCGGTATGCGCTTTTCCAAGCCAGTACCGGTTTTCAGCACCAGTTCTCATTATCTGGACTTGAAACTCGTTTTACAAGTCCTACATATTATTCTAGTAATTATCATGCACTTACATTAATTTTCTGCGATACTTTTTTGGCGCACATTTATATCGACTAGCAGAACCGGTATCTGCACTTTTCTTCCGAAAAACGACTTTCAGCATTCTTAATCACTTATTACGATTATTAAGCCTCATAAATAATTATTAGGGTCAATTATGGAATCATTTCCTATTTTCTCGTAATTTATTAATTAAATTCCTTAATTAACGGTGCAGGTTCTTACAGTTAAGGCTGCATTAAGTAATGAGAATTTCATAGAAATATATTTTGATCATTTCATTTCCATCCCTGATATTATTGCACCTGCACCTGTGGAAGGCAGTGATGAGGATGAGAGTGGCAGTGATGGTGATGATGATGATAGTGGAGATGGTGATGGGTTTTCTACTGACTCAGATGATAGTGTGGAGGATGAGCCATATAAACCTCCTCCACCTATGTATGATACAGAAACAGAGAGTGAAGAGGAGCACAAGGGGAAGGGTAAAGCTGCTGGACAAAAAAAGCAAAACAAGAAGAAAAAAAAGGAGGTTGAAGATGTGGCAGGGGAAGATACAATGGAAGAGGAGGAGAAGTCAATGTCTTTCGAGGAGGGTGGGTATGGGTATAACTCTGAAGAGTTGAACACGCCTCCTTCAAGTGGTGCTGAGGAGGATGAAAAGGT